GAATATCCTAAAAGCCCTAACCGTGGGTGGCTAACAGATGTGGGAAGGTGTGGTCCCTGCGGCTTTTACTGTTCCAATGCTTTTGTGAAAGAGAACACTGAACATCTATTTATGGTGACTGCGAAGGGAGGGATGATTAGGAGATTCCCTGTGCGACCATAATTGTGCCAGCATCCATGGAGTGAGTGGCATAGAATTTTGCAGAACGAATCTTGCAAACATAAAAAAATAAAGAAGGTTGAGTGACAGCGTCCCTAAAGTCCCTCGTATGTCCTGAGCCCTCCCTCCTCTCCGTTTCCATCTTCCTGCCTTGAATCCAGCTCTCAAGTCTTTCTTCCCACCCTCCTTTCCTCCCCGGATGGTCCAGGATGGACCCACATCGCAGCTTCCTCTCGCGTCCTCCTGGGACTCGCAGACTGGTACCCGCAAACACCCCCGTCCGCGCCTGCGCAGAGCGTCCTCTCGCGCGCACGCGCTGCCCTGACCCACAACACCCGCGTCGACCCGGAGTGCGGGGCGGGGGGTCGCGGAAAGACAGACAGCCTCGGCTTTTCAGGGAAGCTGAGTATCTCCGAGCTGCTCCTGTTGTGCGACGCCCTTCTCCCGCCCTCGGGATTGCGCCTACACGGGCGCGCGCACAGCCTCAGAACAGTTAACCTCGAGGAACAGGACGGAAGTGCTGCAGGAGGAACCCGCGAACGGGCCGCGAGGCTTGGGCGGAGCCACGCCCCCCGGCAGCCTCCCCAACTCCCATTGGTCGGCGTGCCCGTCCGTCCGCTCAAGAGGCCGCGCGTTTTCCTGACTACCTCGGCGTGCCGTGGGGCCGCTCCTGCCAGAGCAAGCCTGAGCTGGCGCCGGCTTCTGGAAGCTCAGAGCCGGGCAGGGCCGGTAGGCGCCGAGGCTGAGCATCGCGGGGCGGGCAGTAGTGCCGCGCGCGACCTCTGCGACCGCAACACCACCTGTCGCGGGCGAGAAGAGGTAAGGCTCGGCTCGGCTCGGCTTGGCTCGGCGGCGCGCAGTGCGGGACGCCGGGCGCCTTGGGGCGGGGCGGGTCCGGGCCTCGCTGGATCAGCCCCCGGGGCCGAGCGCGGCCTTGCGGATGGGCAGCGGGAGGGGACAGGAGGGAGGCCACTGTAAGTCCGACCTGACTCCGGGTGCCACCATCCGCTGCTTTTCCCATCGCACGCTTTTGGGGCGCGTTTTCTGGGTGTCGCCGCGCTAGTACCAGGGCGCCCCCCCTTCCCACCTGGGACTCCAGCCCTGTGGCCTCCAAATCTACAGCATCTCTCTTTCCTCCGGCGCCCTTAAAAGAGCGACTCTGTGGCTCGAAACCGCTTTGGCAGCATCTCTCTTTCAGCCGAGATGAGAGAGTGACAGTCACCCAGTGTGTGCTTTCCTCCTTTGGAAAGGAAGAGGTGCTGCGGGCTAGAAAGTTCTGAGGCTGGCACGGTTCTGTCCATTCATACGAAATGGCATCCGTGCACCGCGATTGGCAGGTGTTTCCCTGACGCTCGCGAGAACCGACCCTCGTGTGTGGTGCATTTGTGGCTTTAGATTTTGAGTTTGTTTTGGTTCCCAAGATAATTCTAGAAAATTTATGTTGCTTTGGTAAGAAACGTGATCAGAATAACTTTATAACCTCAGCAGAGGTGCGTCTTGACAATGCTTTATCATCTCCTATTTGTGAGATTACCTTCTTGATGCCTGTGGTAATCACTTCCAAGCCAGGCAATTAAGGACATTGTTATTTCTGTTAGTGTGCATTGTTGATTACGGTAGCAGCACTGCTGTTCTTGATGGACTGGGCACTGTTCTTTAAACGGATTATATCAGGATAGTCCTTTGAGGTTGATACTCATCGTCTGCCAGTGTCCAAAGGAAGATACTAAGGCTTTGGAAGGTTAAGTAACTTAGCCAGGACAACAGTTTTTAAGTGGGTGCCTGGAATCAAACTCAAACTTTCTGACTTCATAGCTCCACTTCCTCCTCTAACATGCATGCTTCTTACAAGTCGTTCACGTCTTTAAGCCAATTGCAAAGCAATAGTCATAAATTTATATCCTCAGCTTCCAAATATTCAGGAAGTTAGAGAAGAAACAGCTGTTTGCATATTTATGTGTATAATGTTTTATATATAGTAACTGTTGTAACTAGTGGTTATATATTTCAAAAAAACCCCAAAAAACAGTTTGAGTACTGATTTGTAACCTGTACCTGACTCTTTTGTGGTAGTTGCAAAGGTTTGGAAATTAGACATAGAGACCAGAAATGCTGATCAAATGCTTTATCATGCATTAATCAGAACTGTTGTGCAATGCCTTTGTAGAAGTTCTTCATTCTCTTGAGAATAACACATTCCTGTTTATTAGCTGTTACTGAGCAAGAACTGCTTATGGGTTACACCCTTAGAAGGGGTTTATGTTTGTTTTTGTTTATTTATTTATTTATTGTTTTTAATAGAAAATACATGCCTGACTCATGTTTGGTGCAGTACTGTGAGCTGAGATGTTGGTTCTGTCAGTTCTCCAGTGGGAGATGAAGGGATATGATTTTGTAGTTATGTGACCTCATCTTGTTTTTAGTATACGTATGAAAACATGTAGAAATATATGAAAAACTGATTTGCCATTTCAGAAGTTTTTTTGTGCATTAGAAAGTGTAATGTACTGGCTAATGCTGTTCATGTCTAATTTGTTTCAGAATTCATGTAACCATAGTTTAACATTGGAATTTATGTTGGCGAGTTTCAGACAAATTAGACATTTTAAGACACAATTAACACTAAAACCTATATTTATTTATTGGGGATTAATCTTGGCAAAATCCACCCAAAAATTACATGCATTTTTATAAAAATTGAACTATTAAAAGTTAACTAGTTTATTTGAAAGTAGTTATTTTTATTATATGGCTGCATATTATACTTTTGATCAAATCATATAAATTTAGGTAATGGATAGTATGACTGTAGATATTTAATGTTGCCTTAATGTTTATGGTGATATTTGATATATGCCATTCAAATTCTCATCCTCGATCTAGAGATTTAATTTGAAGTATTTTAAATCATGATTATCCTCATAGTCTTTTAATATGGATTGCATCATTAGAATATCTTGATGCAGAAACTAGCAGGCATTTAGAAAGCAACGTGTGACCATGTTAGTGACAGTAGTGCTTATGCTAAATAATGATATGCACTGTGATACTCATTGTAAGTGGGTTGTCTAATATAAACCTTAAAACAACCCTATTGTGCAGCTCTTTTTGTTTATCCAATCTGAGTGATGAGAGAATTGCATCTCAGAGAGGCTGTCACTTAACTCAGAATTACCAAACTAGAGATAGTGAAGCCAGGATTTAAATCTAGGCAGTTGACTCCAGACCTTGCCCTTTGATCACTGTGCTAGACTGCCTTGGTATGGGTTTTATTGAATAAACCCATTATGAGACTGTAAAAATGGTGGTGATGATGGTGATAAAGCTCTAAAAGTTTAAATGATGATACACGCAATTCTGCAAAAGTTTCCCCTCCCCCATTTTATTAATGAGAAAAATGGAATTTCTAATTGGCTCCCAAATTGGACTTCATGAACAAGTTTTTAAAAAGTGTTATATGTAGGGGGCACTTGGGACTAGAGGTGAGATTGCCAACTTTTAATTCTGTCAAGGTTAAGGACCTTCTTAAAAACTTAACTTCATTTGCTGGGTGCTGTAGAACAACTCTATAATCCTAACTATTCAGGAGGCAGAGATCAGGAAAATCTTGGTTTGAGACCAGCAGGAGGGAAGGGGGATTGGGCGTGGTGGCACAGACCTATCATCCCATCTTTTTGGGAAGCATAAATAGGAGGGTGGCAGTCTAAGCACCCTAGGCATAAAGCAAGATTCTGTCATCTCAAAACTGACCAAGGCCAAAAGGGCTTGGGGATATGGTTGAGGTGGTAGAGCGCCTCCCTTGCAAGCTCCAGGCCCTGAGTTTAATCCCTAGTACCACCAAAAAAAACCACCAAAATGACCAACTACTATTGTGATCTACTGTCCCCATCCTTTCTTAAAAAGGGAGGAAAGTAGTAATTACAACATAAAAATGAAGAACAAATTTAGAATTATGAATAATTACATTTCTCCTCATTGGTCACTGACCAGTGAAAAATGTTTCTCAAACTAACACCAGCTCAAAGATCATTTGAGAACACCTGGATGACACCTAAGTCTAAAGTAGTAATTAGCTGAGTTCAGATTCGAATTCAAGTATAACTGCAAGGCTTGTGCTGTAACACCACGTCAGAAGTGACCTGTCTCTAGTGTAGTGTTTGGGTGTCTAGTGAACAGTCTGGTCTTCCCAGGTGTTGACCATCTCCTTTCTGCCCCTGATTTGGGGGCCCAGGGAGAGTAGTGTCCAGCAACCGCTGGCATAATAGTTCCAGTCCCAATTCTGTTTTGTGAACACATCCTAGAGGGGGAGTCCCACTGTCTCCAAGTTCAAGAACCTCTCCTTTTATCAGTGCTTACTCCTGTTAAGGGCAGGTCAGGGTGAGGTGAATGACAGTGGTCACTCCAGGGGAGCAACCAGGCTTGTCCCAGTATCTAAGAAACTCTAGTAAGCAGCTTGATTTTGCATACTTAATCAAAGTTAGAATGCTTACCTTCTTTTGTTTCCTGCTTTTACTTCCCTCATTCTTACAGTTCTGTTTTATCTACAAAACAGAAGGAGTTAGGTGTATTTTTCTTTCATTTTACCATGCCTCCATATGGCAAATAAGCCTACCTGTCAGTTTCTCTTTGCAACTGTCCTGAGTTCTAATTTTGGCACAGGTTGGTGTTTTTCCTTAAGTTTTTTTTTTTAATTCATGCCTACTTGTTTTAAAGATGCTATTAAAATTACTTTAGTATTTTATTTTATTTATATTTTTCTTTTTTGTATACCCCATGTTTTCCCATTCAGAATATAGGCACAGGATCTGGGGTGAGGTGCATACAGGGTAGGTTTACTTTCCCATCTCTTTCTCTACAATCAGTGCAATAACAGCCTCTGACAAGGACCAGGAGGCCTGTATTTTATTTTAATCTCTATCACTTAGTAATAAAATTAAGTTCTCTTAGTAATTTGAATGTTATAACCCTTTAACTCTTTAATTATGGTACTGATTTGCATGTATTCTGTTGTTTGATCATCACATCAGACAGACTCAAGTCTATGTGACTACAACACTTACATGAGGTACATTTGACAGGTGGTGTTACATTTATTAATTCAGCATTTAATGTGAAAAAGATTCTAGCTAGGAACTGAAAATAAAAGATTTCATGTATCACGATACTGATCTTAAGTTAATTGTTGATTGCAAAATGTTTCTTTTTTCAGATTGACTTATTTAAAATGAAATGTATTTCATACTATTTTAGATTTGCCTACCTTATCTTAGATTGCATCAATAATCTAATCTTTTGGCACTAAAGTTTTTGTTGTGGTAAGAAAAAAAAAAAAAAAACCAAACTGTCTCCCAGGAAGAACCACATAAGCATGATCAATTCTTCTTTTAAAACTTTTTTAAATGGCAGAGCCAAAATTTAGGGGTTTTCTCCACTTTCCTGAGTGTCAGCCATCCTATTTTGTTCCTATTTTTGTAACCATGTTTTGGGAGGTAAGGCAAAGGAAGGTGCTTGATACATGTTTTTCTGTCACTGTTGCTATAATTAGTATTATTAGTAAGTAGTATGGTATTGTTTGGCTAATTATTTTGTAGAAACTTGGCATATACAGAATCCGTACTTTGAGAGCCAACTGCCAGTGTGTTCTACAATACATTAATAGATGGAAGTAAAGTGACATGAACCTTCTGTGCAACATAGACCTGAGGAGATCTGCAGAAGTCAAATTTGAATCATTTTCGATTTAACAGTGGGCTGCAAGAACTTGCTATTTAAAGGAATTCAGTGAAGAATCTCTGATAAGGCAAATTCTGTTTTTTAAT